TGCACCGGTATGACAATAGATCATTCCACCTGTATGTTGTGAAAAAAAAAAAGGCTACAAATGTTACAAAATAACATGGCTACAAAAAATGTTACAAATATAGAAGAAGAGCCACTCCTTGAGGACAACAGAAGAGTCCATTTAAAGGTCTTTGGGAAGCCCTGTTTTTCAGTTAAACCCATCGCTGATTTGTTTTGATTGTACGGCAGAAAATTCAGACTGTGAAGCCCACCTGGGCTGACACACCCAGCGCTTTTTTACACTTGTCGAAAAGGACAGCGTGTTGTTGTGATATCATCTGCAGAAACCTGAGATCATTGAGGCTCTTTAGAAACCACGCACACCTTTATTATTTGAAGGATAAGCTGATCCTAATATATTTCTCATTTCCTACCTAAGAGGTTTGACCGACTTGAGTGTTGCAGCTATTAATGGTTTAAAACCACCGTCCCCTCTTTAAAAGTAGAAGGAAGCTACAAATTTACCTTGGAGCCTTTTAAGTCTGCTGAATCACAGTTGCGTCTCTCAGCTGACTTCGTTTTTAATCTGGCACCATACAAAGCTAGAGCTTTCCTTGACCTAGTAAGTATAAAGACAAGGCAGCGTTGTAACCCTTCAAATGTTGTTTTAAACATCCAAGTTGAATAAGCCAGAATTGGCACCCTGACTTAATGGCAATGTCACTCATTAAGAAATCCCCATATTTATAACAGTTCGTGTTACTATAAAGAGGCCTTATTCGAGATTTCAAGCGGTTCTTTCAATGACTGAAGATGGCGTTTGCTAAGTTGATCCAGTTTTGTTCAGCTGTTGACCGAAGAATCTTTTTTGTGTTTTTCCTACTTCAGAAAGGCAAAACTTTCTCCTTCAAACCAGATGTTGGATTCCGGTTTGCTCTTGAGGCTTTAGGTATCGAGTTTGTTGGTTTTCTGAGCGGAATAGCTGTTCCTTGCGGACAGTTTTGCAGAGAGAATATTCAGGATACGAGTTCCACTTGTTTAGGGGGATTTTGTATACGTGAGGCATTTTACACCAACCTTTTGAAATTGTTAGCAAGTGTAACTTGGCATCCATCTTCGTTCAGGTATCTCCATTCTGGAAGCATAGTAAAGATGCTTTTGCAAACCTGGTGAAGATTTTTTTATTTTCCCTTGGAGTCTTAGAACCTGAAGTGATGCACCCAGCAGCTTTAGCCACTAGTTCAATGCTTCTCAACCTCAGGAAGTTTTAAGATGTGTGGACTTCAATTCCCAGAATACCCTCGGAATTCCCAAAGCTGGCTTGGGGCATTGTGGGAATTGAAGTCCACACATCTTAATTTCCCGAGGTTGAGAAACATTTCTGTGATACCTGCAAGTTGGTTTTTCTTACAAATTCTGCACAGGGGATAGTGTAACTCCAAGGTGCTCTAATAAACTAGAAAAGGAACTCTCAAGATTTTGGTAAGCAGGAGATTGTTAAGCAAATGGATTCTAAAGCTGCTTCTTTACAAAAAAAAAAAACACCCCCTCTCCCCCTCCCACACACACACTCCAATCCCTCCCCAAATATATCACATTTTACCATGCAAGCCTTACTCTTTCTCCAAGACCTTTTCCTGTCCTCCCGCCCCCCCCAAAGATTCTTCCACCCTCACCCAAGTTGATTTATGTGCTGGGCTTTGCCTCTGATCCTTGGGGCTAATTTCCCCCCCTTTTTTTCCCAGCTTAAAGCTTTGTCCTTGGGATTGGCCTGGGAGCATTGGAGGGGAGCCGTCGATATCCAAGAGAGACTTTTTGCTTTGAACTTTTTCTGAATTTCAGGCAGCAAGAAACTCCTGCCTGGGTTTCTATCTGCTTCTCGTCTTCCAGGATCTCTCCGTCTTGTCTTAGCATCTCCACCCCAGAACCGCCTGTAAAGTTTGTGGACCAGCTCTGTCCCCACCCACAATATTCAAGTGAATGTACTCCCCCCACTGGGAAGGACATTGGCTGCATATAATTATTTTTAACGGAAATTTTTAAAAGTAATTTATAAGTATACTGAGTGTACATTTTAAAAGCAGACTTATGTATTGTAAAAGGATATACTGTCCTGTGTCATATTCTATAAATTTTACCTGTGAAAGAAGAAATTATAAATGCTTTAATTTGCTCACGGAGCTGGATGCTGTGCAGTGAACTTGGAACAGCCAGCACACGCTTGTTATTTCCGCATCTGAAAGGTTTATTTCCCCCTTGTTAATGTTATTTTTGTTACTTATTTTCCCCTGAAACAAGGCCGTCATATTTGAAGTGCAATTTGTGTAATAATTCATAAATACAATACTATTTTATGGCTGTACAAAAACAACTTTATGAACAAATAACCCCCCCTCCCAGCTTATTAAAGAACAAAAGAATGGAAAATAAAGTGATAGTGGCAGATGTGTTTCCTACCCGTTGATGTTTGTAGACACCCAGCAAAGGGATCATATTTTACTGTTATGTTCCTAGAAGAATGCTATGTTCGTGTTTCTGCTGCTTCCCTGGTTTCCAGGCACCAATAATTGCTTAGAAAACTTGGTTAGTTTCTGAAGTCCAGTGGAGAATGTGCTACTCTATCAATGAACATTCTTCCTGCTTTTCATCAAGGATACAGATTCAAAAGAATGCATTCCCAGGGACCAACTGCCTCCTCAAACACTGAATATTATTAGTATGGTTGTCTTGGATTTGACCTGGAAAGCTAAATCAACCAGTGGTGGGATTCAAATAATTTAAACAACCGGTTCTCTGCCCTCATGATTTCTTCCAACAACCAGTTCACCAAACTGCTCAGAAACTTAACAACCGGTTCTCCCGAAGTGGTGCGAACCGGCTGAATCCCACCACTGAAATCAACTCTATACAGTGTAATGGAGAGCATCGTTCCACTTTCTGATCCAGCCAAAGGCTTTTCATGTGGTTGTTTTCACCGCCGCTGACTGTGGTCCATGGAAAATAGGCAACAAAGCCCAGAAGCCAGCGTGCTTCTTCCAGGTGGGAGAAAAAAAATCTCCAGGGCCATTAAAACTCCACTCTTGCCGAAGAGAAATTTTGCATGAGCTACACAAGAAGGTTAGTGGGAAGAAGGTGGTGTGATCTCTCAAACGTCCTGAAAACGGAGCAGGGCAGCCAATCCTGCACGTGGAAACCGAAACATAAACTTGGCCAGCAAATAAAATTTGGTGTTCTAAGGAACAAGGAGTTCCAAGCCCAAGCAGTCATACAAGCTACTCATTTATTAACATTTATACAAGAGAGCTAACGAAGTCCTCTCACCAGCCTAAGATACCCACCAGCCTAAGAAAAGGATCAGATCCATTTCTCCCAGGCTAGATTGGCACCTGATTTGTAGCTCATGTTTAAATGTCCAGTTTTTATTGCCAGAAAAGGATATGGAAAGGTTGCCTATGGATACAGTTGAATAAAATAAAAAGATGCAGGCTCCCATCAGCGGTTCCATTTACGTCTTGCGTCATGTAGGAAATAGCATAGCTGAACATTCCCAGGATGAGGAAGGGGCTTCAACTACTCTGGTGTTCCATATCCAAGCTAACAAAGTGCCTCAGTCAGGAACATGGAATGTGATTTTCTGACAGAAAACTGAGCTTGGTTGTACAGGTAGCCCTCGGCTTATGACCACAATTGAGCCCAAAATTTCTGTTTGCCCCACTCTACGATCTTTCTTGCCACAGTTGCTAAGTGAGTCTCGTGGGTGTGTCAGTGAATCTGGCTTCCCCGTGGACTTTGCTCAACATAAGGCCGCAAAAGAGGGATGTCATGAGACCAGGACACTGCAACCGTCATAAATACGAGTCAGTTGCCAAGCATCCAAATTTTGATCATGCGACCATGGGGATGTGGCAGGAGTGGAAAGTGTGAAGAACATAAGTTGCTTTTTTCAGTGTGGTGGTAACTTTCAAACGGTCACTGAAGGAAAGGTTGTATGTCAAAGACTATCTGTACTTAGCCATACTATTGGTTTCATTGAATGGAGAGCAAGTCTGACTAGCTTTGGATTCAGTTCAGTAGTTCAACGCTACAGTTCAACAGTTTCATTCCCACACGATTGTCTCTTGCACTGGTGGATCAGAAACAGCTTTTGTGGTGTGGGATTTTATAGTTGAATGAGTTGAACTAGAACAGGGATCGCCAACCTTTTGGACCTCAGGGACCACCAAACTCATAATTTTAAATCCTGCAGACCAGAGACCCTGGGAAAATCCCCCCAAAAAAGTCTGCAGGAAAATTCCCCATCCCGTTTTCCTACCGATCGATCATTCTTTACCGTCTCCAGCTCTGTTCTCAGGGGGAGAGAAAGAGAGACTTTTGGCTTCATGCAAGGGAAGCAGCAGAAGCAGCAGAAGTCTTTCTCTCCCCCAAACTCCGTCAGAAATGAGTCTTTGTGAGACTTGTGAGCTTCTTGGAGCAGAATGCCTTGCAGGGTCCCAAAGACTCATTTCTGGTGGAGTTTAGGAGACAGAAAGAAATACTTTTTGTGCTTTCCTTGCGTGCAGCCAAAAGCAGAAGAAACAAGTGGAAAGAAGCAGCCCGGTGGCCGGGCCAGGCACGTGGGGCAAGTCCCCCCCTCTGCTCTTTCCCCCCTCCCCTCACTACCTCATGTTGTTTGCAATGCAAGCTACGCAAGCCTTGTGTTCCCACCGGCCATGTGGGCGGCGCAGCCTTGTGTCCCTGTGCAGCCTGGATTAATTGCTTTGGGAGTGACATTTCTCTGCGGACCACCAACATTTTCTCACAGACCACCAGTGGTACCAGGCCCACTGGTTGGTGACCACTGGTCTAGAAGTCCTCCAAGGTCCCTTCCAACTCTATTCTGAATACCAGCACTGTCCGCGATCACTTGAAGGGTTCCAGCCCAAACCACAAAACATCTGAACAGGTTTCTCTTGTCTCTCCTCCTCCTTGCATTTCGGATCCAGGTTTTCAAACGGAGGAACCCGCTTAGGCATTTCAACCACTCCTCCGAAACTTTGCCTCTTAATTTTTGAACATGTCACACAGCAGCTTCTCCATGGGGGTGTTCCCAATGGTTCTGCGGAAAAAGAGAAGCTCGATGCGCTCCGAAGAAATGAATTTCAGCGAAGGGAGCAGCAGTAGTAATTTTCCAAACCTAGGAGGCGATATAGAAACACATTTATAGCTGTTGCGCCAACCGTGCAATACTAGAATTATATAAAAGAAGGAGAATACCCCAAAAAATCAAAACTAAAGGGGTTAACCTGGTACCCCAAATTTAACCAGGATGCCATGGAAGCTCTGAACAAGGACGCCTCTGCTCATAATCTCTCAAAATGTCTATCATGTTTCTTTTGCTGAAATTATAGATAGATAGATAGATAGATAGATAGATAGATAGATAGATAGATAGATAGATAGATAGA